TTTTAGTTTTAGATCAGTGCCATTTTTTTTTCATTTTCTCATCCAGCTATGTCCTGCTCCCCCCTTGTATCCATCTCTTTTCTCTGCCTTATCTTGCCTGGCGTTCTTCTACACTTTTTGGTGTGGCTGAAACTTTTTGCGCTTACGTCTTTGTCTCTCTGCTCTCTCTACACACGCCTCTGGTCTTCTTCCTTGTGTGTTCTATCCTCCCTTTTTTCTTCTGCCCTGTGTTTGCTCTCGTGTGTGTCTAATCAAGAATGCTTTTCCCTTCATGTTTTCGACTGGTGGCAGCATCTAGTTCTACTTTTCTCTTAGTGTTGTAACATTCATTACACGAACAAAGAACTAGACTTAATTCATATATTTTAATCTTAATAACTCCTTTTTTTAATGATGTTTATTAATTTCTGGAATTGGATTAAAGGGCTTAGAAATCTAATTTTAGATTAAACAAATATTTTTTAAAAATATAATCCTAAAAGGGATTAAATTTATTTTTGTATTTTTATATTTTTTTTGTTTATTTTAATGAACTAAAAGAAATAAAATTCTAACCAAAAAAGATTATCTTAAATAAAATTAAGCCCTATCAATTAAATTAATTTTTTTTGTTTTGAAAATATAATCCTAAAAAGGATTAATTGACCATGTCTTGCACATATGTCCCTAAGCTAGGCTTTGCTGGTTCGTGGTTATCTTGCAACATGCCATTGCTACCTTCTTTAGTAAACCACTTGAAGAATGGCTCTGCTTGAATTTCAATCCATAAACTAGGGGTGTTCATGGGACGAGATGGGACCAAGACACTCCTTGAACTATTACTTAACAGAAAATAAAAGCTTTGGTTTTGACTCATTGGGATAGAGATAGGAAAAAAAAGGATTTTCGTTGTTTGTGGATTAGTTGAATAAATGTAGTAATTCACAAGAATCAAGAAAAAGTATACTATAGTTATAGTAGTTTGATGTATAATTTGTACAAGAGGCAGTTGCTTCTTAATCGTAAAATACTTTCACAAATAGCTATATTAAATAAGAATTGTCTTTATATGATTTCCAATGAGATCATAAAATAAAAATTCCTCAGAGACTGAACTCCGGGAAGGTAGAGTAGGGATTTGTGTGGTAAATAAGAATTGTCTTGTATCCCATCCTATCCCATTCTGTTAAGAATCAGGACAGGATTAGGATGAAATCAGGATATCCTACCATCCTGCTAAGGTGGATTATATGATAGAAAAGCCTAAATAATAACATTCATAAATTAAAATTTTAAGTCACATGACTTATAAAGTTTAAAACTAAAATAACATGAGTATATAAATCATAACAATTATTAAATTATATTAATCACAATTATAAATGTACAACTTGAAGTCAAGTGTACATGAGACATAGCACACCATAATAGCAATTTAAGTGATCTCTAAATTATAAGAGTAATAACAATAGATAAGCCCCGCACAATATTAAGTCATTATTCTTTAGCTTTAGTTGAGATATGTAAGCTAGCGACTCTTCCTAAAATAAAGCAAGAAATACGATATAAACAAAAGTTATTTAATAAGTAGATATAAAAATAAATTATATTAATATAATTAATATATTGTAAAGAAAGATATTAACATGTACTGCTTACGTTATATCATTAAAAATTTCAATATAAAAAAATTTAGTTTTAAATAAAAATAGAAAGTATTAAAATTATAATTAATATAAGTATAAATTATATTAATATAATCATTATATTTAATGTATATTTTTAAATAAAAAATAATATATATCTATATAATATTCAAGACGGGATGTCCTGAGAGTAATCTTGTGTCCCATCTTATCACGAAAACCTTTTTCATTTCAAAAAGTCCCATCTCAATTATTTTTGAGTCAGGATCAGACATATCCCGATATGAATGAGATGAAACTGGGCCAATCGATATAAGTTCAAGTTGAACGCCCCTACCATGAACCATTAGCATTCATTAGAGACTTCTCTTCAGCATCATGGGATGGAAACTTTGGATTAATAGGAATAACAGGATTTTCAATGATGAGCCTCATACACCTTAAGATATTGTTAGATCAACTTGTGATTTAGTTTTTTTTATTATTAAGGTCCATGTCCTGATTAATTTATTGGATTATGAAGCCTAATATGTTGACTATTACCTTATTGTACTTGTAAATATTTGTTAATATCATTCCTCTTTCACTAAAAAAAAATTAAAAGTAAATAATAAAAATTTTAATTTTAAAGCAAAAACATATATTCTAACATTTAAATTCAATTTAAAAATTAAAAATATTTTATTTTTAGAGGTAAAACAAAACAGATTTAAATAGATTGTCCGAGCCTGAGCCCTTTTTTTAAGGTTGAGCTTTAAAGCTTGATTTTTCTCAAAAATATAATTTTTTAAGCTCAAACTATATAAATAGGTGGCTAAGCCAAGGTCTTATTCTTGGCTATATTTATAAATATAACATGCACTTATAAAATGTACTTTCCTTCTCAAATTATAGCATACTTTTGGAAAAAATTACCAAAAAACTTCATTAAACATACTTAATAACTTTATTTTTCTAAAAAAATATAAATTTTTTAAAATATATTTCATTTAATATATTAAAAATAGAGAATGAAAAAAATTAAACACAGATAAAGAGTAACATTGAAATAAATATTTTTAATAAAACATTGATATTCTCTGAGTGCTTTATATGCTGGGGCTCCAAATCTCTCTAAAAAATTTCTTATAATTATATGTTAAATAAGTTTATTAACATTGAATTCAATAAAATATCATATTGAAACTTAGGGTTAGCGGCCTTTATGTCCCGTTTGGTATGTTGAAAATGACTTTGATAAAAATGAAAATGAGTTTAGATGTGGCAATGAAAATAGACATGAAATTTAAAAATATGTTTGATATATTTATGAAATTGAGAGATTTTTTTTGTTTAATATTAATATTAATATTTAAAATATGAAAAGACTACAACGCCCTCGTGCCTAACAAATTTCGTTCAATCCAAAACCACCCTCCACGACCATTGTCTTGCCACTCAGATCACTGATGAAGAACCACTGTCCACCTCCAGACCAAAAATTGAAATTGAAATGGTGGAGCCATAAAAGACTTCGGATTCAACTAGCTATTAGAAATGGCAAAACTCAAAGAGAGATCTGTAGAGCTAATCAATCACCATAGAGAAAGTGCTATTGCTGAAACTAGCAGAGCCTGATTTGCATTCACCCTATCTTCAAATGAAAACATTACCATTGGGTACCTAGTCAACGCATTTTGGAACAAATCTCATAGGGGTCGTAAGTAGAGTTGGGAATACGGGCGGGCCCGGCCCTTAAGGGCCTGGCCCTTATGGACTCGGCCCTTTAGGGCCTGAGCCTTAAAGCCCGATTTTTCATTTTGACCCCCATTTCTCAAGCCCAGCCCTTCTACTCAGGGCTCAGGGCCAGGCCCGTAAGCCCTTTTTTAAAAAATAAAAAAATTAAAATAAAATTAAACATTATAAATAAATTAAAATATTTTAAAATTAAAAAAATTAAAATCATCATAATTTTTTAGAAATTAAATAACATACATTAGAAGTCTAGTAATAAAATTTAAATCTTCATTTAAAAAATAGTTCATTTTTTTTATAAATATACAAACATAATAATTATAGAAAAATAAAAAATATCATAAATTTTATACTATACACTGATATTTATTAAATTATATTAAATTAATTTTAGAATCAATTAAAATTAATAATAATATAATGTGTGTAGGATCAAATGAGCAGGTCATTGATTTCAAACACGTGTTTTACTAAAAAAAATAATAAAAATAATATAACAGGGCTTGAAGGGCAGCCCAGGCCCGAGCCCTATTTTACAGGGCTTATCAGGGCCAAGCTCTCAAGCCCGATTACTTTAAAAAAAATTATTTTCAAAGTCCGAACCCTTATTAAAATAGGGCTTTCAAGTCCGGCCCTTCAGGCCCGACCCTTATTCCCGGCTCTAGTCGTAAGCTGCCAAAGGTAGCTACTTCATAATAATGCCAAAGTCAGATAGAGAGACTAGCACTGACAAGGGCGATCTCAATGACGTGGAGGGTGTATCGGGAGGAGCTTTAGAGACAAAAAAGAGTAGCCTCCATGACTTCTTTCTGCAAATCTATGACAGAAGGAAGGTGGTGGAAGACTGGAAGTGGAGTCGGTGAGGGAGGAGCTCAATGTTGGTGAAAGGCGCTATATATTGAGAAGTTCATCGACGAGAATCCAATTAGTTAATGGAAGGTGGTGTGAGATGGGAGAGGGAAGTCTAAAAAATGGAGAGTGGAGCATGAAATTTGAAATCTTAACCTTTATTGTGGAAATTAATTCCACCTATTTTGGTAGAATTAGACTTGAGAAATTTTCGAATTTTATCTTACCAAACAAATAATGTTTTCAATTTCAAATCAATTTCCAAATCCACACCCATTTCCACCATAACAAAGGGACTCTTAATTTTGTATGGATTTAGCATTATGATGCAATTCATTGAATGTATATTATCTTAAAAAATATATTTTTATTTGAAGTATCTGGCTTAAATTGTCAATATAAGGAGCAAAAAAAAAAAAAAAAGCCGATCGGCCAAAAAATAATGTTGTCAAGTTTTAAAATATTTTAAATCTCCATCAGTGGCAAAGAAAAATACGTAAAATTAAATTTCGATCGAAAATTAACAATATAATACAAATTATAAAAATAATTGGTGGAGTCTAAAGAAAATTGCATTGCATTGCATGTAACACAATATCTTTCTGGCCTGGAAAATTTGTGCAGTATATAATATAACAACGCCGATTTCTACAAAATGGTCAAATACTTATACTTATATATATATATATATATATATATTCGAATTCGAATGCTAATTGAAAAGCCAAAACAAGAGATCCCTGAATCCCATCATTTGCGGTTCGCTAGCCGAACCATCCTATTTTTCTAATAAATATTATAAGATTACATTCGTAATTGTTATTATTTGGCTGAAAGGAGTTATCGTCCTTGTACGTTTGCGGGTGAGTCTAGTGTTGCTGCTCCGAGCGTGGGAGAGTAGGTAGACGGCAGTTCGGCGACCAGATTGAAGCGCGCCAACGATTCAGATCTGATTCCAGATCTCTGCGATTTTATATTACTCAATCTTCACTGTCTCCTCCATATTTGTTTAATCTATATTTTCAATCTAAACACTTTCCCTAAACCCTAACCTGCTTTTCCTCTCCAGTATCGCTCCTGCTTCGTCAATTAACAACCTTATCGTTTTGATTTTCAATCGCCAATAAAAAATCGAAGCCTTTTGTAATTTCCCCCCTTCTCCCTTTGGCGAAATTACTGGTCTCTCACAATGAAAGAAGGAAAATCGATTAAAGTCAATCATCATCAGCAGCACCAGAATGGTCACCTCTCCTCTTCCAAATTCGCTAAATTGCTTGATCCTGAAGCTTCATGGGATAAGGTTCGCACTTTAATTTATCCACTGAGGGTTTCTTTTATTTGTGCCTGTCTCTTTCGATCTACTCCCTGTTCAATTTTGGTCAATTTGAACAAATTAAGTATCGCATTAGTATGTCCTCAGGCTCCTCAGAAGTGTAAGTTTAGAAACACATATTATATACCTGCAATTTTAGCTATTACTTACTCGTCTCCTTTTAGTTATTAGTATTTCCATTCTGTTCTGTGCAATTGACTTGACGCTAACAACCATTTATGTCTTTGCACCTTAAAATAGGATCAATTGGGAGATGTTTTACACTGGATTCGACAAGCCCTGGGCCTTGTGTTTGGATTATTATGGGGTGCCGTACCTTTCGTTGGGGGAATATGGTTTATCTTGTAAGTATGTTCACCTTGTAATTTAAACACGTTTATGTTGAAGTTGTTTTATTAGGATGACAGATGATATTGCCAAATCTCAGCATTTATCCAAACTCGCTCATTCGCTGATATTGACTGCCTTGTGACTGTAATTTGTGGTGCAATGCATAGATTGGAAACATGTTCCCGCTGCCCTTCTCTTTCCTGTTAGTTGGATCCAGACTCATGCTGTCTGTGTAGTGGGAGTCTGGAAGATGACTGTTTTTACCAACGATTGTGTGGAGACAAGGCTGGAAAAGAAGTGATACTAATGAAATGCAAGTATATGAACTGGATGTAGAGCATCTAAATTTCTCCTTGAGAATAAGAAATCCAAATTATATGGTTGATGATTTATCTCATCTGATTATAATCAGATTTTAGATGTCTAGCTTTGAGATCTGACATGAATCAAGTAAAAATATTAGATACTTACGCATAATATAAAATGCTGCTCTAGATTTGAAATTTAGGAGATTGCCTATATTCACACCCATGTCTGTCTGTCTTGTATCATGCTGCATATGTCCCATAAATACTTGAGGTGGCCTATTAGGCACTAGCACATCTTTTGAAGTCCTTGTTACATTTTTTTCCCCATCAATCCAATGCATTCTTATTTGCGAAGTGTTTAGATTTTTTATGTCCATTTTGAGAAAAACTCTGATAATTCTTGGAATTCTATTCTTATCATTGAGTTGAAGGTACACGCTTGAGAGATCTGTTGACCTTGTGATGCAGAAATCGGTCATTTTGGTAGCACCATGTTCAGTAAAAAGATTAAGTGAATTCATTTGTTATGTATCACCATTGGCATGAACATTTTCAGGCTTGAATCACTGATCTCATATGGCACGCTTGCTTCTGTAACTCAAGGAAAATGATTTGCCTATATTAAAAGCCCCTGATTTCAACATGCTCTTATGTGGTGCTATTTTATAAGGCCTGATTAAGAACTTAAATTGGCATTGTGCTTGTATTTTAAACCTGCAGCGTGACATGACCTGCACATTTTTTTCATATGAATTTATTATTTTTTTCATTTTGCAATTTTTTTGTTCTTTGTTGCAGATTTTTGGCAATATCCTCTGGGATCATATATGGTTATTATGCAATGATATTAAAGGTTGACGAGGAAGAGTTTGGCGGTCATGGTGCACTCCTTCAAGAGGGTCTCTTTGCTTCCATAACTCTCTTCCTGGTAATTTGTTGTTGTGATGTGGTCCTTATTCCCCTTCTGTTCCCCTCCTAGAGAGGCTCTTGTGCACGAACGATGCTGAGGGAGGGTCTCTTACATTTTTATCAAAAAATCTGACTCCTTTTGTTTTTGTCTTCAATATGTGTGCAGCTTTCGTGGATTCTAGTTTACAGTTTGGCGCACTTCTGATTGGCAGGGCATTGGAGGTTTTGTAAATATCTCCAACTGTCAGTGGATTCACCAGATGTTACTTGACTCTATGAGAATTGTCCTGAAAACTGTGAGAAGGATCATTGGAATTGAAAATATTTGTTTTACTTCCTTGATTGTAAAACGTTTTGGTTTTGCGGAGCATGAACAAATCAGCTTCTGGTTTCCGTGGTAAATACTGTATTCTCCATGCATTGGAAATGACACCACGTGTTGTAGCAAATTATGGAGTGCAGAAATCATGGCAATCAACATTCTGTTTTTGTTGATCACTGAAATAAAGGTTGCTTGCAGGCATGATTCTGATGGACCTTTTTGACGGCATTCACGTTTCCTCCTGCACTGTGCTTTGACTTTTTTCCCCGATACTGTTGTGCCCTGATATTTTCTAGCCATATACGTACAGCCTTTTCGCACGGTTTTACACATCTCTCTCATCATTAAATTTATGTTCCAGAAGGGGGTGAACACGGGAAAGAAATTTCAAGGAAGCTCTTGGCTTGCAACGCAAGCTAAGCTTCCATCTATTCAGAACTTCTCAAGCGGTTTACTGGTTCTGTTTAGAAATGGGTGATCAGAATAAGGGGGAAGGGGCTGTTTGTTTGTTTTTGTTTTTTTTTTTTTTTGTGTCCCATTAGAAAGTAAAATTTTACTTTTTGAATGTTAAGTTATTGGGGTAAAATATTTTATAAAAAAACACATTTTAAAAGAACATTTAAACAATGGTTAAGAGTGGATTTGAAAAATATAATTATTTGAAATTTTTAAAAAATGAATTTAAAAAGAAGAATGCTATTTGCTCATATTATTTTAAGTTTAATTTCTTACCCCTTCCTATAAAAATTGTAAGGTATTTTTTGAAGAATTAAATGTTAAAAAATGTGAGGTGTTTTTAGTATTTGGAGATATAATCATTATTTTTTTCTTCAAAAAGTGTTCTATTGATGAATGACTTTATGTTTATTATCGGATATTTAATAGGAGTAAATATAAAAAGATAGAATTAATTTAAAAGTAGGTAATTATTTCATTGAGGGTGAGATTTGATTAAAAATATTTTATATTTTTTTAATGGAGGGGGTATTCTTTTATTTAAAAAATAATTAATTCATTAAAAATATAATTATCATTTCAATAATAATAATTAAATATCAAATTTTTTAACATTATAAATTGAATAATTAATCATATTAATTTTTAACATTAATATATAATAAAAATTATAAATTTGTATCACATTTTCTAAAATTGTAAATTAAAAAAATAAAAAATAATTAGATATTAAATTTTTAACATTATAAATTAAATTTTATATTATTTGAAATCTTTATCACATTTTTAAAATATTTTAAATATATTATATTCGTTTAATAAAAATTATAAATCATGATAAATTAATATTTTTTAATTGTATATTTAAAAACATATTTCACTCAATTTAAACAATTTTTCATGTACCAAACTAACTTTTTAAAAAAATATATTCAAACAAATTTTATTACAACAATTAATTTTTACTTAATTAATTTTTGTCACATAAACTTTTGACAGACTGAAAATTAAACACACAAGAAATGTAATAAATCTTTTGATATCACTGGTTGGCAAGGTGTGTATATAAAAATGGACTTTTCCAGCAACTATTACTCCCCTCACGAGAAATAAAGTAATTATCATAAAAATGTTATGTCAACATGTTTTTCGCAAGAAAGAATATTAGCAAGGTTGCGCATAAGAAAACTTGCACACTGCTCACAGGAAGGGAATTCGTGCATCCATTCTCGAAAAATGACAGTACACTGAGAATTAGGACACGTTGGCTTTAATCAAACTTGTTAGCATAATAACAACTGTGAAGCGTGAACAGTGCAGAGACTAGCAGTTTTTCCTATCCTTGCTATACATAATTGGAGTAACATCTAACCACAAAATGCCGGAAGGGGGGATTACAAGTTTACAACCGTCTTTGGCGCCGGGATCTGCCTGTGAGTGAAACGAGGTAAATACGCCCGTAAACCCATTTTCTTCCCAGTCTTGAAACCGATTGCTGCACAATGAAAGCGCCACTTTATACCAAATGCTTAATATAATACCAGGCCTCTTTCAATAACCCCCCTCCCCCAATCATGCAGATAAATTAATATTTTAATTTTAATTTTTTGTTTAAAATTCATAAAATTTTTAATACATTTAATCACCAATTTGAACACTTTTTAACATAAATGGTCCAAATTTAATATTATAAATTTTTATGAATTTTATAAACTCACTATTTAGATATATTTTGAACAGTATAGATTTACTATTAAAATTTTTATAAATTTTTAATTTTAAATTCATACCATTCACGTTTAACCTAAATTGTCTAGCCTGGTACTTAAATTTATTTATTTTTTATAAATTTAGATCATTAATATTAAACTTGAACGGTCGAGACTGTCTAGTAAATTTATTAAAAAAAATTATAAACATGGACCGGTTATATTAAAAATGAATTGTTCAGAAAGGTGATCATATTTATTAAAATTTTTATAAATTTCTTATTTTAATAAAATTAAAATTAAAATTAAAATTAAAATATTAAATCTGAACCATCCAGATTTTATCTGGACAGTCCAATTTTCTGTATTTTTGTCAAAATGCAGTGGAGCTGCCCGCAGCAGAGCCAAGTCCCCGGAGAAAGAGGGGAGGGGTCATTTAGGATTGTCACATTCAAATTGCTCTTCTTCATGAAAACACGTCACCAACCTAATTTAACGACACTTCAGCCTTTACGCAACTCAGATGAAAAAAAGAGAAAGAAAAGGAAAAGCCTTTACGCAAAAGTTCAAATGCAATTACCTCGACTTGGGTGTGAAATTCTAATAAGCATCCACACACGTGACAATCTGCTCTGTGGGGGGAATCACGAGCCTTGTCCATCCTCACGAATGCGAATACCTGAGGGAAAATGAAAATCTGAGTCTCCTACTGGACAAGTTGGAAGAAAGTTTGAGGCACGGACATTGAACAGAAATCGAAGTAATGCAATAGATCAAGCAAGTATGCATATTATTCACTGACCTCTTCCCCACAATTTGGACATGTACCTTTTAGTGCCACCAAGTCATTCCTCCACAGGCCTTGAAGCACCTTAACTGAAGAAATGGGCAGTTGAGTTACTGACAGAGTTCGTGACTACGTCATGAACAAGTATATGACTACTTACGATACGGGAAGTTTTGCTGAGGATTCAGCCCTAGGAATTGAAAAATTCAAGACTTCAGGTGAATATGCAAAATGAAGAGTATCAACTAAAAATTTTCACCTGAAGATGATGCAATTGGATAGCCAATGACACAGCCCAATGTCATAAACACAATGCTATACACCGTGGCCAGGAATCCTAATCCTGACGCTTGGTTGACATAGGATAATCCAGAATTGAATGCAGTATGATAAACCAAGCTGACGGTGTACAATACAGGCCCGACGCATATTGAGCTGCCAAATACAAGGAAGGTGACCCATGTGCTGGCTAATGCAAGAATCATAGACAGATCTGTCTGCCCTACAACCACACCATTCAATATTCAAGTGGAGGACAAAGACTCAAGGGACTAGAAAACTGAGCATTCTAGGCATATAAATATGTTGACACATCACTAAACATGCATCGGATACAGATATTCAATAGCATTGGATCATATAACAAACATCACTTCCTCAGGCAATAACAGGATGTGGAAGTCATGTGTCACTCACTCAATCACCAATTTCGGCATCATTCAAATCATATAGGGTACCTTGCAACCCAAGCATACGAACTCACTGATCATAAGCATTTCGACGAGTTTGGATAATAGCAGAAAACAAGGGCGCACACAGAGTTATTCTGAATTTCAGGGGAGAATTACCTCAGCATCAGCATATGTTGATTGCCTCCTGATACTGCAACGAGGATATTTAACTACAGATTTCGAACCATACCATCGCAGCTTTAACTGTTTCAATAATTGATCTTACATTAATAGGCTTTCTACAAGAACTATCAAGATGAATGCTGAGTGAAAAAGGTAGGCAGCGAATACCTCTACTCTATCAAACATGTCATCAACTATCAAAGGTTTACCACTATAATACGCATCCCGCGCCTATTCAAGAAAAACAAAAATAAAAAATAAATAGTCAGCATGAGAAAATTCTCATTATTGCTATACAAAAAATGGGAATTAACGCAAAAAAGAAGGGAAAATATACAAAAGAGTTGATAAATGTACAAATTAAATTAAAAAAAGTCCTTCAGAATGCCAATTTCACATTTCGCCCTGTTCTTCCCCATACTTTACGCCCCTATAATCTCAAGTTGCGAGTGATTACTCCGACAAAGGCACTTCAAGGATATAATAAAACATCAGTTCTGATAACTTCATCATCAAACACTATGGAGCACCAGTTTGTTCTAATATGGAGCCCTAAGGTGTCACGCGTGCAAAATGACAGAATATTCTGAGTACAAGTAGGTTTTAAGTTGAGCCAAAATAATATACAGGAGCAAGATAGGGAATTCAAGAAGAGAGTTACTTGGAGATAAAGAGCTTCAAGGGTTTCTTGGCGAGCCGACTCGATGGGGCCAACGTAGATGCAGTGAGGTCCCTGGGCGAGGTCGTCGCAGGTGTGGGAGAAAGAGGCTCCATTAGTCTTAGCGGAGAAACGAACGGAGAAGGAAGGAAGAGAGCGATTGCTTCTGGGAAATTCTAGAAGAGTGGATCGGTGAGGGGGGGAGGAGGGGCTCGTGGCCGCCATGAAACACCGAGGCAGACCGCTTTGGTTCGGCAACGATTTGAGATACAAGGCACGATAATATGACATGCGGGCCCGACGGCTGCGTTTTGGGAAAGAGTAGAGTGGGAATTCACCATAAGCAAAGGCAAGCTCGGCGAATGGACGAGATTACCCCTCTTCGCCTTCTGAGTGGCTGGTATTCGGTGCCCTGGGCCGATATTTCTGTTAACGCGTTTGGTCCATATTTTGCAATGACAGGAATTGATGATTGGAAGACAGTGACATCCCCTTCCCTTGCCACGGACAACAAACCGCCCCACATCCAGAAATTTGATCTTTATACATTTCTTTCAAGGCCAAAAACAAAAGAGGACACGAAGAAGACGAAAAAGGGTATTTCATCTTGGCTTATGCCATCTTTGATTCATAGATGCGTTTGCCACGTGTCGAACCGAGGTCTACTGCTTGGAAAGCAATTATTCTGACCGTTGAACTACAAATGCAAGGACGCGAGAACTTCGCTACTTCTAGAATTAAGTACGTTGTTTCCATTGATTTCAAGATATAACAGCCGATGGGGAGGAAGCAAATCTGCAAATGTTCCCACGGAGGACCTTGTATTTCTATATTTTTTCAGCTTAGAACCGGAGAAGTAGCAAATGTTCAACTTTGAACTTGGAGGTCAATGATATTATTGAGTCCTACAGGTACAGGAGTAGAAGGGGATGCAAACATGAGCTTTATGAGCCTTGGTTATTTGGGTTTGTGATTGTGGTCTAGTAGTTGATGAAGAGGCTCATAGAAAAGACCTGCTCCCGCGCTGGTGACTCTTCTCTTGTGCCTGGTAACATAGCAAGCATTCTTGGATTTGGCATGAATATGGTACCAAGCCTCGTAATGGTTCCGTGTCCGAAATGCATGGGGCACATGGCATTTGTTAACTGTTCAACTCTGGGACTGTCTTTCAATGCTTCAATGAAGACAACAGAGACGGCAATGGGCCTTAGTGGAAACATTGGGATGTTGGGACGATGATTGGATACAGAAGAGCCCAACAACTTGGCGCGGCAATTAGCAAAGGATTTCAAGAATGAACTTCATTATCCATTTGCATAACTTACGCCATCACTTAAACGGTGAGTGTTTTGAATTTAAATATTTTTAAAATTATTTTCATTTTTGTTTTAAAAATAAAAAATAAAAAAATCTTAAAGTTGTTTTTTAAAAAAAACACATTACTTTTGATTATTGTAAACTACAGTTGACTATGATAAATCATGAGCATAAGCCATTGTTATTAACTAGTAACAATAATTGTTATCGGTCAATTTTTTAACTCTAAAATTATTTTCAAAATAAAATAGTCAAATAGAATTATTTTTATTTTGTTTTAGCAAGCTATTTCTAAAAAATGGTCTAGAAAATAGTTTTTAAAATAAAAAAGAAAACAAAATCAAGCATATTGCCATTAGCCCTAAATTCAGCAGCATGATTTTTACCATCTGAATGAAACGTCCTTAAACAAAGTTAACATGGTAGGCTAGGAATACTTAATCAATGCATGATGGAAGGGTGCCCAGTTTGTTGATGAATAAGAACAGAGAAGCTGTATTACAGCTTTCCCTTTGTCCTCTTCGTGGAAACATAAATAACATGCATTAGTAGTTCACCGCTCCTGTCAACATAATCGCAGAAGGGGACTGAGTTAAATGCCCTTACTTAGGTATGAATTGAGGTGGTTCCCTAACTATTTCAGGAATCTCATTCCACTACCCTGCCCTCTTGATTTTGCTGCATGCAAGTCTAGATGCAGGGACCCCACTCTGGCAGTTAATTCGGTTGCTGCAGTTGTTGGCACTCATATATATGCTTGAGTATAGCCATAGGAATACTTAAAGAAGGAAAATGCTCTGCTTTAGAATCCGGGGCCAGGAAGACAAATGAACAAAAAGGCAGAGGCACAGTGATGGGACTCTATCGCATCAGGACAGGGTAGCTTTGGATATATGCACGATGCTTCCTGGTGAAACTTTGCTTCTCCATGAAGAAGCATTTTTTGTAGGCAATAGGCATTCAGAATCCCACTGATTTCGGATCCAAGATGAAAGCATAAATGATTGCATTTGCATGCATGCCCACTGCAGCCCACGCCATCATCATAGTTGATGAATCTGGAGCCTTTGAAGCTTGAATTTAGCAATGTGAAGTTCAAATGGTAAGCAAATTTAGCATTTACTTGTAGGTTTAAATAAAAGGGTCTTGGGATATATATATATATATATATATTTTACGTGTTGGAGGTACAGAGACACCTCTTCTACCTCTAATCATTAGCCCACCCTTTCAGTTATACGACATATATAAAAGCATGTATGATGGATCTCAACCAACAATGCTTGTGACTAGACATTATGATTGGCTGCAAACAATTCTCAACCAATAATCCTTTCTTTTCCTATCAACATAGCGAGTAATAATGAATTAACCCAGCATGAATTCTTTCGTTTTTCAGTTGCAGGTCTATGGTTTGTGGAAAACAAAGTCCTTTTTTGTAGCTGAAAGCTCGAACAATCCCCATGACATGGTTTCGTGATGATATTAACTATCTTGTACGACGAGCCGTTTCTTTGCGCGCGCGCGCGCGCGCGAGTGAGTGAGTGTGTGTGTGTGTGTTTCCCCCTTTGTATAAATCATGTGACGGAGTAAGCTTATTCTTCAGTTAGAAGTATGAGGCGTTGATTGGCTTGAGTTGATGGTCAAGCATGATGAGAAAAGTGAGGAAATCAATTGAAAGGATATTTAAGAGGGAAGTATGGTTTGGTTGGGGGGCAAAGAATAATGTTTGAGGCAAAGTCAGTGATGACTGCCTCTCTTTCTAGACAAGCATGTGACATGTTGCCAAGCACACATATATATGACTTGAAATCTGACGAGTTACACGCTCCGTGTGTAAGATTAATGCAGCTATCTTCAATCAAGCCAGGATTGGTGGAACGCATTCAAACACACACTCACCAAACTCCATAGTATTCAACATAACGTATTCAATAGTCAGCAAAAGAGACAAGTACCATGTAAACGCTACCTAATAGATCGCCTTTAGTTAAAACTTCTCCAATCATGTTCAACTAATCTCGTTAACTTATCAATTGAGTCAATGCTTTATTATTAAATTATATGTCATTTCCCAATTCCAATATTACCTCGGAGCTCCCCCATGCACTCTTCATATATGTCTATCACTATATCACATTCAAGTTGACGTCCGTACTCTTGTTCTTATGCATATGTTGGTTTGTACATGGCTATTAGTTCAGACAGATCCAAACACAAGCTTAAGGCTCTGGTTGTACAAAATTCTTCAGTTGCATAGCATCCAATTGGAAACATTCCAAGGATATAGCCACGTCAAACAGTTTCCGAGGCTATTAGTTTAACTTTAAGACGGGATCGTTTCTTTGCTGATCCAATAATTAAAATGAATTTAAAAGAGAGCGAATGGACCCAAAGGAAAAATTAGAAGTTTCGATGGAAGGAGGGAAAGTAAATATGAAGCAATAATTTGAAGGGCAGCCCAGTTTGACAGCACGCTAAGCTCCGCATCGGCATGCCAACCACTTCCAACAAATCCTTGCCAGAATCAACGCTTACATGTCTAGATATATATATATATATATATATATATCAATATGAGCAATTGTAATGAAAAAATATAAATGCTATCGATCGATAAAATGTGCCTAGAGAAATAATGATTATCTTTTCGGCAAAAGAAAAAAAAAATTGTAGACGGGCACATGCAAGGCCAAGATTAATTTTGACCCTGGGGAAGCATGAGCGAGTAGGCTAGCAAAGATGAACGAACATGTCCTGGGGTCGTTGGTTAATTGACGGGAAAGGTGAGCCACTGAGATGGGTGGTGTAACTAATAATTTAATTTTTTTTTCTGTGTATGGTTACTTGCATATCATTTGTTCTATAATTTTAAAATAACAATTAAAAAAAAAAGTATGAACGACCCTGTTCTGACGGCGTACTGCGACTGGCCATATCAGACAAAGAAGGGGACGTGGATTGATATCATTGGACCACGCATACCATACACGTTTTTGAGGGATTGGAAGCACATGATATATATATTCCTTTTTGGAGGCACGGGCAAATGAGATTCTTGGATGTGGCTCCACAAATCTCAGTATCAAAATTTTATTTGCATGCATAAAAGCAGTATCATTAATTTTTTTAAAAAAATAATGTCAAGGTGTAAATGTGCAATCAAAATATCACCCTTAAGATATTATTTACCCATGCGCAGCATAAAATCCTGACAAGTCAATTCTGCGGAGGTATAAGAATAAAATAACATGAATGAAATGTAAATAATTTCAGCGTTAACGGGTTATAAATAATGTAATTATAACGGTTCCAATCCAATTTATTCGGTAATGATCTGTGGGAACAGTGGCAGTGGCGCCACACACAGTCTCTCCCTCGCACCCGCATGACAACTTCTCAATTGGTAATCATCATTTTTCCGAATGACTGAACCTAATTATTACAATTAAACAAATTGGGTTTGTGCCGGGGGCATGTTGTCCCTCCATTTGTTTTTGAATACGAATAATGACACCAAGATCCTCCCTCAGTCCTTTGTTGGGCTTGCTGGGTTTTCATTCCTCTCTGTTTCTCAATGCATGTTAACGCTGACCTAACACGGGAGAGTTTGCAACCCTCACTAATGCTGTGGACGTGAGCTGTACTTACTTGGCATTGCACGTTTGGTTTTCTTGATTGTGGGGAGAATTCACAATTTCCCTCCTTTTTACGAAGTGTTGACTGAATGACAAAGTTCCAAAAAATCAAGAGAGAGGGAGGGAGAGAGTAATGCATTCATCATAATCTTGAAGATGTTTGGGGTATCCAATGTGGCTAACTTATTGATTACTTTTGCAGTGTTGAATGCGTTGGATAGCATCAGTAGAAGAGCACCGGGCTGCGAGGTGCGTAGGCCATGGAAGAGGTTTGTGTTTGAAGCATTTGACATCGAGAGCGGGCTCCAAGGACCGATGATCACGGGGACTGAATGGGACCCACCATCTCCCTCGAAGATTCAACAAAAGCTCCCTTGTATAGTTGTATTGTATCCCCTTCGCGCCCCATCCAAGCCCTAGCGGACCCACCCCTCTCCCCCTGCCGCTGATCACGCCCTGCGCTGTGTGCCCCGCTTTTACCCCTACTCTTTGTTTTATTTTAATGATAAAATATATTTTTATTTAATTCTTTTAATTTTTTAACTCAAAACAATCTGA